GCAAACTTTGCATCTTGTCGTTGCATAAGAAAGCGTTTTGTAAAGTTTTGAATGTGATTAAAAGTGGTAAGACATTTCAAAAGTAAGTTCTCTCTCTCTCTGAGTCTATTTTGGTCTGAATGGATAAGAAGGACTTGGAACATTGGTTTATGAATTTTAGTGCTCTCCCCCAAACTGTTCTGGTATTTATGAAGATACATTCTCTTACAATAAATGTTACATCTGTAACTATTCCAGCTTAGTTTTGCCTTTATAAAAAAAACTTGAGTGGGGGGAAGCGGTGGCTGTGGCAGAGCCGGAAGAAGCCGCAGCAGGACTCGCGGGGCCCCTAGGGACTGTGGAGGCCAGGCATACTAGAAATGGCTAGTCCCCAGTTGGTCTTCGTCTTTGCAATTTGCATTTTCTTTATTTTTTCTCTTTTTTAATTTTAAAGATAGTAAAATCCAACAAAACAAAACAGGAAAAGCCAATCAAAGCAATGCAGCAAATTGGTATAAAACTTCAAAGCAGGATACTAGGAAAACAGCAATTGCTACCATAGTGTATCTTGTTATCTTCACCATTCCATCAGGTATAGCAAAATCAAACCAAAAATAGAGCACTGTAAAACTAAACAAAACAGAATATTGAAGAAAGCAAAGCAATCAAAACAAAGCAAAATAATGGAAATAATATTGGTCTTCAAAGACGAGAAAAGGAAACCCCCAAATTTGCTATAGTGCATATTCTTCATCCTCTCAAGAGATGCTCAGACCACCAGCCACAGGCCTGAAAAATCAATCAAACAATATAAGCATTTAGTTGCTTTGTGAACCTTAGTTGCTGTCAACTCAGCCTGTCCTCCCAATGAGCAGTTGCCTACAGGGTTGTGGGGTGTGTGGGGGGTACATAGTGTTTGGTTCTCAACCCAAGCACAGGAGGGGCTGACTTTTTCTCTCCCTGGAACCCATGCACTTTGCTTACCAGGAAGGCTGATTAGTTAATTTCTTGGTGGGCTCTCCTAGTCCCAGCATGGCCAATTCTTCAGAGGCACTGGCTTTCCTCTACCTTGAACCTATGCAGCTTTACAATTTGCATTTTAATGATAACAGAATTAATTCTGGCCTCAGAAAGCTACTGTGACATCTTAGGTGTGCAAAATCAGCATCAGAGCACCAGATCAACAAGACCTTTCATCTTAGCCATGAAGTATCATCCGACAAAAGTAAGAGCCGCAGTGCTGAAGCAGAATTCCAAGATTGCAGAAGTATATGAAACACCCTCAGATGTGAGTAGGCAAAAAGAATATGATACACTGGGACACAGTGCTTTCAGGAATGGTAAAGGACAGAGAGATAGTGGAAGTCGTTTTGAGCAATCCTTTAATTTCAATTTTAAGGACTTATTTAAGGACTTTAGTGTTTTTGGTCAAAACCAAAACACTCCACCTAAGAAGCATTTTGCAAATCACTTCCAGACATGGCAAGATGGTTCTAGTAGACAGCAGCCTCATTCCCAGGAGTTTATATTAGGCAAATTCCTTCTTTTTCTGTTCTTATTAAATCCACCTGGTTGACTCTTCTTTAGTATCTTCGATGAAGAAGTTTTCTCTGAAATATTTCAACAAGTACATGATTTTGCTCAGAAATTTAATATTATTTATTTAATTTTTGACAGATTCTGAAATGCTCAGCTAGAGATTAGACAAATCGAATTATTAATTCTCTTGATTAGAAAAGGTCCTTTAAAAATATTATTCTGCTGGTTTTTCCCTCTCATTTTCCCTTAGGCTTTCATTACTACCAGAAAAAAAGAAAAAGTGATTGAATTTGCTTGATAGATAGGTTAAACTTTAAAGTTATTGGGTGACTTTGATTTTTGCAGTGAAACTTCTGCTAATTTAAAATTACATACTCTAGCATCTGTGATTTGGATTGCTAAGTATGTATGACAGTGTATAATTGAGGCAGCAGAGGAGAGGATTTTGTGGTCAATTGCCACTGAAAGCTTTGGAAAGAGATGATTTGGTATTTACTGTATCTTGCCATAGAATTGGATACTGGAAATGTTGATAGAGCTTTTGGTTAGTTAAACTGAAAAAAAAGAAAACTTACGAAATCTTGCCAAGAGATTGTTGCACATTTATGCCCTGCCAAGTGATTGATTTTATAGGATTGAAATCATAACTACTTACATCTTTTCAAATTTTTGTCTTAGTTGTTGGCACTCTAGGTGTTAACTGTGAATTTATGTGGGTTTATGTGTGTATGTGTAATTCTTCCTCTGTGTTTATCTTTATCTAGAGATTGACTAATACCTCATTCTGTTTGTAAAACCAGCCAGTAATTTTTGTGCAACTTTATTATATGCAGTATTTTTAAATCCTAAGAAATGTGTACTTTTGTTTTCAGATAAAACTCAAGTTCTGTACTTCCGACATTATAATCCATGAGTATTAATCCTATGGATACATATTAAACTAGTAATGTTTCATATAACATTGTGAGTGAGAGAAATAGAAGTGTTTACAAGCTGATAGTTTATCATTTTGTTAAAATTTTATTATGCAAATCTGCAGGCATAGAGGATATATATATATATATATATATACTGATTATATACTCATCATAAGCTATATTTCTCATAAAATTAACTTTTATAATCTGAAAAAAAAATAGTCTTAAAAGTGTCCTGTTCAGGTTTATGAAATGCAGTATAGGATCCATTTTTAATTTATCTGTGGAAAAAACTTGGTTATTTATCTCATTATTTTCTAACAGTATAGATTTTGTTGATTGGTCTGTTGGAATAGGATCTAAAGTGTATTTTTCCATTCTCTTTATTTCCTGTAAACTGGGAATTGGGTTTATTTATTCTTTTTTTTTTTTGGTATCGGGGATTGAACTCATGATATAGCGCTTGCCAGGCAGGTGCTTATGCCACTGAGCTAAATCCTTGGCCCCTTATAGTTATTCTTTATATAATTCCTTTTTTACTTTGCAAAAGGAAGATTTTATTCCTCTACTATTGGTTAGGCAGATACAATTACTATTAAGGTACATGCCTGGTTCTTTTATTTAAAACCACAAATCAAAATTAAAGCTGGCACTGTACGTCTGTTGTAAGTGCATGTGAGCATGCCAGTGTATGGGGAGTCTGACAGTCAGTGTCAGGGCCTAAGGATTAAAACAGAAGAAAAAACAGCAGAGCATCTTGCTCAACAGGACACCTGGCTGAAACCTAGGCCATTGACTCCGTGAGTAAAGCTTATCCTGGTAAGTGTGTGTGGGGCCCTGCATCTGATCCCTAGCACTACAAGGGAAATAAAAGGCTTGAGTTTATCTTGCTGGCTTGCCTCAGATTCCTGAGATCTCAGCTGCAGGCTTTGGGACTTGTAAAGTTGGAGAGTCCTCTCAGCCACCTCCTCTTTGCCAAATTGGTTGGGTAGGAGATGCTTTTTTCTTCTGACTTTTTTTTTTTTTTTTTTTTTTTGGTACTGGGGATCTAGCTGAAGACCTTGCGCTTGCCAGGCAGGTGCTTATGCCACTGAGCTAAATCGCTGGCCCTCTTTTGCCTTATTTTTGACACACTACACTTGACAGAAGACAGATTAGTAAGAAAATAAGGCAGGTTTAATCATATGGTGTAGTAGTTCATAGGAAAAATTATGACTGAAGGTGACAGTTGAAATTTGAAGCTTACATCCTTTTTTTTTAAGACAAGGTCTCACAGTGCAGTTCAGGCTGGCCTCGAACTCACTATGTAGCCCAGGCTGGCCTCGAACTTGTGGCAGTCCTTCTTCCTCAGCCTCCTAAGCACTGGGATTACAGGCATGTACCCCCATGCCCAGCCTCAAGCACTTTTTAAAAATGTGAAATATTTGTCCTAAAAAAGACTTTGTAATTTTTTTCCTTCTATTTCCCTTGCAGTGCTAGGGATCAGTCCCATGACCTCACGCATCCTAGGCAGCTGCTGTTAACCCTGAGCTATGTCCCCAGCCCTCAATTGTCAGTTGATACATAATAATTGAATGGATCTACTATGTACAGTGTGGTAGCTTGATATGTGTATACCATTATATATAGGCACAGTATTTAGTGAACAAATCAGGATAATTTGCATACCTGTCACTGCAAATTTTGTGTTGGAAACATTCAAAAGTCCTCTCTAGAAGCTATTTTGAAATACAGTTTATTGTTGTCAAACACATTTCCCATGCTTGAACAGTAGAACTTACTCTTTCTTTCTAGCTGTGACTCTGTACCTGTTAAAGCACCCACTTTCATCTTTCCTCGCTCTCAGGCTCTGATAAAAACCACTCCTATGCTTTGGAGATCGACTTTCCCTGTGCCTGATATTTTATTTTACACTTCTGTTTATTATCTTAATGGAGGGGGTTATTTAGAGAAAAACATAAATTTTGGGAAGATGAATTAGCCTCTAGGAGAATAGACAGGGGAAGGAAAAGTTGGTGACACTGTTTGTGCAGGTGTGTGGAGATCTCTGAAGTGTTACGGGATGATCTTCCCCATTGTTCCTGGGGACAGGATTTAAAGAGGCTCCAGGTTTAGTCAGACAATAGATTTGAAGAACTCAGTCCCTTCTGCTCAATTTTTTTTTAATAATACCAAGACCCCAGATGACCTTGTGTAGCTACTGTGTAGCCTTCTCATCCTAGTTCAGCTTCCCCTCTTGTTCTCTTGGTGTTATTCCTAAATTCAAACTTCCTACCTCATTGCAGAAGTCCTTTTTGGATAATTACGTATTATTGACATCATGGACTTGATAGTAATGTCCCTAAATTAATTCAGCCTTCCAACACTTACTTTAAGATGATAGATACTGCAGCCCATATCTGTGAAAAAAGAACGATAACCAGATCCATGTTGATGGAGGAATAATTTTAAACAACTGAGCCTTAAGAAACTGTCGATGGAGCACTGTTGAAAGTGTAAAAGGTTTTGTATGTTGGGTTTTCATCCAAATGTAATTTTCACTTTGTTTTCTTTTGTGACCAATAGAACATTCCAGTGAGCCGGTAGAAAAAATTGTGACTTTGGCAAGTCCTTCTGTGATGTCGCTCACCTGCAAGTTCAAAACATCAGAGAATTTGGCTTCAGTCAGTGTGAGTTGGAGAAAGGATGGTAATGAATCCGTTACGAATTATTCTCGCACTGCCGCAGAAGACACGGTGTCTACCCAATACAAGTGAGTATACGACATTGTAACCAAATCACGGGCTGAAATGAGTTCAATTCTAAGTATTTTGCTGGCTGAGCACTCTTTCCTTTGTAGCCACTTGACTGTTACGCTGATATCTTTATTTGCATGTTTATAGAATTCTTTCTACTTCAAAAACTTTGATATGGTTAAGTGTTCATTTAGTAGTGTTTTTGAGGACTAAGCCTTTATTAATATCTTGAATTGTCTTTTAGTTTCACCATTGTTGACAGCAGGCAAATGGGAAACTATTCTTGTCTCTTTGAAGAAAGAAAGAAATACAGGGGAACATTTGATATCAAAGGTCAGTATTAATAACTCGCAGAATAATAGCTTCAGAATTATAGTCTTAGATTTTTAAATGCCTGTTTCAAGTTATTATTATAATACACATAATAAAGCTGATAAGAAATTGTACGTTTTCCTTGGAATCACACAGAGGTGGCACTGCAATGGTCATGCCTTCCCCAGGCCCCTCCCTTCCTGCTTAATCTCCCACTTTATTTACTTACTTATTTTTGGTGCTAAGGACTGCACTCAGGGCTTCCGGCTTGCTACCACAAGTGTTCTACCATACCGCTGAACTAAATCCCCAGCCCCTAAACTCCCACTTTAAAACAGGGTTTAATTGAAAAGGTCAACCTGCTAGCTGTACATAAATCAGTCTCTTAAATTTACTCATCAATTTAGCCCTCGAAATTCAGAGTGTTCATGGTCATCCTTTAGAATTCCAAGTTACTATGTTCCGAGACTGAGAGAGTATGATACAGTATTCTAGATCAGTGGTGCCGGGACTTGCGATTTTAGAGATCTGTAAAATTTAGGCGATTTTGTTTCATATATTTAAACCAAGCTGGATAATTTATCCTACAAAAATAACGCACTATCTGCTGCTCGTAGGCTAGATACCTGCACAGTGTGAGATTGTACCCAGTATTAGGGTGATTGTAACAGTGATAAATATTTGTGCATCTAAATGTAGAAACAGACAGGAAAAATGTGGCATAAAAAATAAAAAGCCAGCTTGTGTGGGACCCTCACTCAGTGGGAGTTTGCAGGGACTGCAAGTTGCCCTGGGAGCGAAGGTGAGTGGCGAATGAGTGTGCAAGCTAGGACACTACTGCGACCCTCGTAAACGCTGAACACACAGGCTAAACTAAGGTTATAAAATGTTTTCTTAAGTAAGTTAACCAGAGTTTACTGTGTCTTTTGCTTCATCACCTCTTACACAACGACGTGTTTGAATTCTTGGTAAAATATGAAATATTTAGCTTAAAATACAACATCTGTACAAAACATTTTCTTTGTATCTTTATTCTCTAAGCTTTCAAAAATGTTTAAAATGCTTTATTATTTATGGGGTGGGGAACTTTGTAAAGGTTCTGGTTAAAATTTAAGACACAGACGAGCCTAGGCCTGCCCAGGGTCGGGATCATCAGTGTTACTGTCCCCTGCCTCCATCCACATCTTGTCCTTCTGGAACATCTCCTGGGCAGCGGAGCATGGAGCTGTCACCTCCTGTGATGCAGCCCACCCAAGGCTGTTCTTGCCTAGGTGTCTCTTCAGTCATAGGCCCTTGGGGAGGGGAGTTGCTTGGTTTTTTTTGTTTCAAACAGCAGATTTGCTTGTGGGCAGATAATCCAACATGAATATTGTTCCTAATAAAAGCTTCTGGCACCACGGTTGATATTTCTCCCAACTTCTAAGGGAGATTGTTGAGAGCTGCAGAAATTTTTTATGTTTTATCTTTCTGATACTAGAGATTGAACTCACGACCCTCTGCTTACCAAGCAAGTGCTTGAACTGCTGAGCTAAATCCCTGGGTGAGGCTGCAGAAATTTCTGTTGAAGTGTTTACTGTGTATTTTTGTGGGGATTCTTAATTTCCTTCAATTTCTGTTTTCCTCTTCTTCCCCAGGTGAAGTGAGTTTTTCAGCTCTGTTACAGTCTTGGGGATCACCTCTGCTTATTCAGTGCCTCATTGATAGAAGTTTTTTGTGTGGCACTCCATTCTGTGTACAAACCCCACACACAATATCATCTAAAGCTCTTTCACATGAACAAAAAGTTATTTTACTATTGACCATTAACCAAAACTTTAGAAGGTCTCTTCTCAATTGTGCAACTCAGTCTCGAGCCTCAGGAAAATGCTAATACCTTCTTATAAATTAGTAAACTGCGTTGTTCCAGCTGGCATTTGGGAAATATGATGTTTCCCTACTGCTAACCACATTTGACAGTAATTTCTCAGCGAACTTAAACTTGTCTCTACTTTTACTAGAAATTCTAAAGCCTTTCGCCATGTAAAGGAGCCCATTGGTAGCAGACTGACTTGTTCATTGCTGCTGTGATTTAAGATGGTTCTCTGCTGGGCCCCTCATGGTGCCTCCCACAACACCTTGGGTGGCATTGTGGTCGTTCCAGCTTCCTAGAGATAATACATCTTTGTATTTCTTTATTAGTTTTGGTGCTGTGAGGTAGCGTCTTACTGTGTGTTTCAGGCTGGCCTTGAGCTCAAGGATCCTCCTGCCGTAGCCTCCTAGGTGGCACCACCATGCCTAGCAAATCTATTTATATGTTTGATTTCTCCATCGGCCGAACTTGATGTCATCCTCTGATTGTGTTGACTGTGTACATTGTTTCTTAACCTCCTTTGCTTTATTGTCTCATTTACTTTAGGGAAGGAATAGCAGCACCGTGACTGTACATTCCCTTACTGTTGGTTTTCTTCCCTGTTCCCCCCCTTTTCCCTGCCCTCTCTTCCATTTGTCTCTACTTTTCCTCCCTGTTTCCTTTTCTCCTTTTTCTTCCCTTTATTTTCTTCCCTCCATCCTTTCTCTCTTCTTTCTTTCTTGCTGCCTTTCTCTTTCCTTTTTTCATTCTGTCTTCTTTGCTAATAGATGATCTTAGGCATACACACAAAATTCTAATAAAGACACCCTAGTGTTAAAGAAGGCCTTTATATTTTGTGAAAATGCTTATTAAATCTGGTGACTTAAGTGTCTCCCCCCTCTTTTTTTTTGGTCCCAGGAATCAAACTCACAACTTTGTGTTTGCCAGGCATGAGCTTATGCAGCTGAGCTGATGAGTCCCTGGCCTTTGCTTCCCTTTTTTAAATGTTCCTAAGAACACTTTAAACATTGAGTTAAAAATTTTTTTTTTCTCTTCTAGATTGCATTGTTCTCTGGAAATACTATGCAATAGTCATTCCTAGTCAAAGCTTAAGTATTAACTACATTACATTTTTCTCTTATTAGCTCATTGTAAACTAATTTTTTTGAGACAGCGTCTCACTATGTAGTTGAGGTTGGTTGTGAACTCGGGTAACCCTCCTGCCTCAGCTTCCTGAGTGCTGGGATTACAGGTGTGCATCACCACATCTGGCTCATTTTAAATTATTATATGAAGTGACCATTGTTACCTCTTACGTATAGATTATCGGAAGCTTTTTACTTTTAACCTTATAGTCAGCTTAATGCCACATATTCATTAAGAGGGCCTCTTGGTTCTTCAAGCTGATGTTAGGTATTAGGAACACCAATAAAAGGGTAAAGTTTTAAGTTAAGTCTTTCAGGAATACAAGGAGTCACTGAATATTTTCTAATTTCTTGAAGCAGTTTAACTCATTTGTTTTTAGTAGCTACTTAACATTAATGTATCTTTTAGGTATGCACTATATCCTGAAGTTAAGTATGCAATGTTTGTTTTCTTTCTTTCTTTCTTTCTTTCTTTCTTTCTTTCTTTCTTTCTTTCTTTCTTTCTGAGACACAGTCTCACTGTCCTGTTTAGGTTGGCCTTAAGCTCACTTTGTACCCCAGGCTAACTTGAACTTGCAGCATCCTCCTGCCTCAGCCTCCCAAGTGCTGGGATTACAGGCATGAGCCACCACGCCTGGCATTATGCGTTGTATCCTGAAGATACTTATAAAATTAATAAATTGACTCCTTTCAGATTTTCCTTGGTAAAAATAACAACTCATCTAAATTGAATATTGCTTGGAGAAATAATTTCATTTAAGTAGAACTTAAAGGCATCTACACAGTAACCCCTATTAAAGGTTATTTTTTTATGAGGTCAGTAAGGATTATAGAATGGCATATACTTTTATAAATGTCCTGTTACGCCTTTTCCATGTGGTTTGCTTATGGTTTTTCCTAAGAATTACTGTTTTCTTAGTGCTACAGTTAAATGTGGATGAAGGCCTATTTTACTATACATTTTATCTTGAAACTCCCCCAAAATACTTTTTTTTTCCCATTTTGCTGTAGACTCCACAAGTCAATTATGGCTTATATGCTTGAACTCTTGGAACAGTTCATCCCTAAGAGTCCCTGCTTCTGTCTTTTGGAAGCTGGTTGATTCATTACTACAAGAATGTGAAAGGACCTCTGTGTTATAGATGAGTAAGATGCAACAATGCCTGCTGACTTTATGTGTTTGGCTATTAGTGCCAGAACAGGCAAGACAGCAAAAGTGCACACTGGAAACTTACTCCTGCCAAGTTGGTGATTACTTTTCATCTGAGAAAGGTGAAAGATAAGCATTTCTTGGTAGTTGGTCAAATATTGTGAGTTAGTTGCTGAAAGTGTGCATATAATATTCATCTGTATTAAAATGTCTCGATAGAAAGTATGCAGAATTTTAATTGGTAAAAGCAAGAACTTTTTGGAATTCGTGATGAGATTTTGATAGTACCAGATGATACGACACTTACATGACTTTGCCATCTGTCTTCCTTGGTGAGTATCCAAGAAGTAAAAGTGTGGAAGAGCAGCGTGACAGAATCCGCCAGGATGTTAGCCCCAAGTCTCAGTGTTGAGGTCCAGGTAGCTCTTTTGAGTTAGGTGAATCTTTGCCCTAATACAATAATACCTAATTATCCTTCCAACAAGCATGGCATCAAGGCCGTTTTATTGTAGGTCATGAATATGCCGATGCAGATCTCCAACTTCCAGCTCCAGAAAGCTGTTACTTTCATTGGCTGAACCAAAACACACATCTTCATGTAGCCTAGCCTAAATCATTTATTTTACCATCTTTAAACTTGAGTTATTCCATCTCCAAGATGGTGACATGTTGTATTTTGTCCTGTTTCAAAAGATCAGCGGAACATGTTAGAATACACTTGTACCATCTTTATGTTAATAAATCTTTCCAAACATATGCAGTGGCAAGAACAGGTTGCAACCTCCAGAATAATTCAAGCAAATGAATGTTCTCAGAATATAGTGCATTTTATCATTCAAACATACACTGTTGGTATTAAGCATATGTACGAAAGCAGAGCAGTGGTTAGTATAAACCTAGACATTGGTCTAAAGTCAGGACAAAGGAGAGGAAAAGAAAGCAACATTTTAGTTTCATTTTCTTCATGTTAGGATTCAGTCAGTTCTATTTACCCATGTAGTCTGCAGGAAAGCAGAAACTGGCCGTAACTAGTGCCCAGCGTGGCTGGCTTCCCAGTCCTCCCAGCGGTCTTTGTGCTTTGTGTCTCTCCAGGTGGGACTCAAGAGTGTGGCTTGGATCCATGTATGCTTTGAGAACCTTGTGGCTTCAAAACAGAATCTCTGTTCAGCCAAACTGCAGCTTAATCTGCAGGTCTTCAGTTGACAGCTCTTCTAAAGAAGGGTTGATCTTTTCAAGTGAAATGTTAACTCTCAGATGCTTCTGTGTTCTCATACTTCATCTTCTAATGAAAACATCAGCTGATATACTTTTGGGACAGATATAATCAGAAAGTGGTATTCAGCCGGCGGATGGATAGTGCTTAGCGTAGCCAGGAACACCAGTCCGTGAGTGGGGTAGTAAGTCCTCCTCGCCACTGAGTGTCAGATGTGGAGATTCATCAGTCATGTCGTTGGCCATAGCTTTGCTGTAGAAATCCTTGGAAGGCCTCACTCCTTCCCCAGCTAGATACAACTAACCCGAAACCAAAGGAGAGTAGTCCATTCCTTTGTACTCCAGTCTCATTTTGGCCATTTTACTCTCAGGTAAATGTAACCCAAACCAGGAAGGGGAACAGTGTGTGCCGAGTCACATTCCCAGGTACAGAAACTGGGCTCAGCCAGTGCCCTGGAGGAGGACTAGTCAGGACACTCCTCCTCTCCGGGGCTTAAATAGGGGAATGAGGAGGAATCTCCGTGGAGGTGAATGGGGAGCTCAGCCCACAGACCACTGTCAGTCTTCTCTGTCCACAGCCTTCAGTATCTGGTGAGCACAACAAAATGGGTCCTGCCCAAAGGAAAACAGTACAGGATAAGGTGGCCTGTGGCTCACCCTAACCCAGCCTTTAACATTTTGACATTTAATCATTTTCTTCTACTCTGGAACTTGAAATATACCTGTTACATGAATAGTAAAACAGATGGTTGCTTATTTTCCTGGATCCGAGAGCCCAATTTTCCTACATTGATTATTCTTCTATCTGTCAGTGGTATGTGAATTAATGAATGAACTCGAGGGACAGCTGAGGACTGAGGATATTGAACAAAAGTAACAACTGGCTGGACTTAACAGAGCACTTGAATGAGAGATAACCACTTATTTTAATTTAAAAAAGACATGTGAGGTGCTGTGGTGCACGCCTGTCATCCTACACTTGGGGGCTGAGGCGGGAGAATCATTACGAGTTTGAGACCAGGCTGGGCTGGGTAGTGAGTTCAAGACTGGCCTGAACTGCATATATACTGAGACTCTTGTCTCAAGAAACAAGTAAATGAAGAAATAAGACACTTCAGTTGCAATTGTTACTTTATTTTATTTATGTGTGTATGTACTTAATGTACATATATATGTGTGTATTTTGGTACCAGAAGTCAAATTCTGGGCCTCACACTTGCCAGGTAGTCGCTGTGCCACTGAGCTATATCCCTGTCCATTGTCTTTTTTATTTAGAAATTAGTTTTCGGTCATATCAAAGTATTATTTGATTTTATTCCACTCTTATTAAAGCCTATGTATTGTGAATCAGCAGTTTCCTTTTTTATTTGTAGGTTTTTAAGTATGTGTTAAACTATTTTATGTATTCTCTGGTTTGCATGTTAGTGGTCTGGAAAAAAATTTTCTTTGGAACTTTAGTCTGTCTTTGTTTCTTCCTTCCTCCCTTCCCTTTTTTCCCTCCCCTCTCGCGGTCTGTCTCTCTTAGTGGCAGCATCTCACTATAGAGTGCATGCTGACCTTAAAGCCGCATGTGTTGCCCAGGTTGGCCTAAAACTCACAGCAATTCTCCTGCCTCAGCCTCCCAAGTGCTAGGATTCCAGGGATTTGCCACCATGCCCAGCTCTTGAATTTTTTAATCAGTTTATTTCTTGCTATCAGTGAGGAATGGTAACTAGGCAATCTTACTTATTTGGATAGATTGTTTGGATAGGGTTTCACTGTGCAGTTCAGGGTGGCCTTGAGTTCACTTAATGTAGCTCAAGCTCTCAGCGATCCTGCATCAGCCTCTCAAGTGCTGGGATCACAGGTCTGAGCTACCATGTCCCGCCTTTTTAATATTTTAATTAAAATGCTTATATAACTAGTTTAGCCAACGACTTGAATGTGGGATTAAAATACGGGATTTTTAAAAATAGCTTTGCTGTTCCCTGTGTGATGTTCAAGGGTAGACTAGCCTCTCAGAGATATTGTTTTTTCACTGTTTTCCTGGCCCTTATTTATTCATGGATTATTTTTTGTCATGTTATTCTTTTAACCTGTTTTTTGAGATGTACTAAGTGGTTCTCAGTTTAGAGCCTTTTCCTTATTCCTTGGTACTTAAATTCACCCTACTTCCGTTATTCTTATGGTTCTAAGATGCATTCAAGTACATTTTGAGTCTTTTTCCCTCTTTCTGTATCTATCTGTATCTGTATACATCTCTATCTGTATCTATCTATCTCTTTTTTTTCCTGGGATTTATTTTTTCTCTTCTGCAGAGGTCATTGGGCTTAGAAATTATTTTTCCACATGAACATAGTTGATACTATTAAGCGGGCTAATGACTACTATGCAGAAAGATCATGGACATTGTGAAGTATATGGGGAAGTTTAATTCAGAGAGTAATATCAATGTTTGATCCCAGCAAAAGTTTGAATTTGCGGCATTTATTGTGTATACCAAGGACAATAGACACCACGGTAGGATTGTGTGACCTATGTCAAGCGCTTTGTGTGTACCTGGGCTCTTACTGAATCCTTTACAACAAACACCATGGTAGGATTGGTGTGAGCTACCCACTTCCTCAAAACTACCTAATATCAAAGCTGTAATTCTAAGTCGTTTATTTACTGGACCCAATCTTACCTTTGTCATATCATATCATTGTCACATTGTGTTGCCTCCTTCAGCCATTCATGACTTGACCTTGAAGTCAACTCTACCTAACTGAGCTTCACGGTGGCCATCAGGGAGTGAGAGTGTCCGTCAGAAGGAATGTTTGGGAGATCTGGGTGGTCAGGCAGGCGGTCCACATGCAGTGCATTCTTGTCTGCTTCCTTATCTCTCAGGAGCACCCTAGGAGTTTCTGCAATGCTGTCTATACTCTCTTCATGGGGTGAATGCAAATTCTGATTAGTGGCTCATGCCTTTGGGTTAGGGCAAATTATAAACTATTTAATGCAACAGAAAATGCTTCCATGGTTATGAGAAGAATGGCAGCCATGAAGATTTATGCCTTCACAGGTGACACACCTCTGTCTTAGGTGTGTCCCTTTCTCCTTAGCTGTGCTTCTTTCATCCCTTTTTTGGTCAGCTCTTCTCAGGAGGAATAAATAGGGTGCTATCGGCGATCCTAGCCAGTGATTTAGGCACATTTTAAACCACAAGGAAGAAAGAGTTGCTTCATGCACTGTTATAGTATGAATCACTGAGTGACAATCCCTAAAGAAAAGTTGTTCTCTTACTTAGTGGTTATACAAATTAGAATGTCTTTTTCATTTCTTACCATCTTTTTCTCCTGGGTCATCTTTACAGTTCCTACGTCCAGCAGTACTTAGGTGTCTTTGGGTAGTAGAAGCCTTTGGGAAATGTATTTAATCTTGAAACCCATCTGGCAATTAAAATGGATCTATTTCTTACCTGGTCCTCTCAAATATAAAATCTAAAAACAGATTATGACATCTCACATCTATCAGATTTGTCAGTATGAAAACATACATTCTTCCTCTGTTGATGAATCAGCCAAATAAATGATGTTAAACCAAAGTAAAAACATAGTAAAATTAACTTAAAAATTAACAACAGTCATCTTTGTTCATAAGCCTCAATTTTCATAATGTTCTATAATGTGTCCCTCGGTCAGTCAGGAGGAACCCTTCATCGTGAAGATGACTCAGAGGCTTTGCATTGCATCGCTTGTGCTTTAGGTTTCAATTTGCTTAACCAAATTGTTCATATCTTTAAATTTAATTTTTCTAATTTCAGTGCCCACTAGTGTTGCTATTGATGAAATTCACTGCAATGAATATTAGTATATAAATTCTTAGAAAACAACGTTAAGGGTGTTTTAAAGTCTCATTTTCTTATACTGCTTTTTCTCTTAGTTTTCCTTTGTTTCTTTTTGTTTTCACTCTATTTGTTGGGTTTTCCTGGATTTGTATGAACTAAAAATTGTGCTGGCCTGCAAATGTTTTCTTATCACTTAAGATACCACTTAAAGGTAAAACTGAAGAAGATCAGTGCTCTAACAGTAACATAGTAGGTCGGAAAAGAGGTGATTTGAAAATGTGAAGCTTTTTTCTTACCTAGACCTGCCCATTTCCACACTGGTGGCCCTTGCGTTGGAGCCAGCTCACTACTGCCATGTTACTAATACCAGACACACTCTTAATATCTATAATTTACTTTGGTTTTACATAGGACTCATGAAAAAAAATCATATTAATGAGAAAATGAAATAGGAATGTATCTTCAAATAATACATTTATTTTGGTTACACTGTTTATGTAACATACATTTATTTGAATTTTTCTTAGTTCCCAAACTTGGTGGAAAAAACAAGCCATTGATCACTTATGTGGGGGACTCCACTGTCCTGGTGTGTAAATGTGAGAAGTGCTTTCCTGTACATTGGACCTGGTACAGAAGTAATGGAAGTGTACAGGTAAGATCATACTTCTTTCATTTGAAGAAAACAAAAACACCCTTTAGTGCATAAATAACAAGATTATAACAGACTCACAGTTCCTAGGATGACATATACTTGTGTGATCTTAGTTTTTTTTTTTTTTTTTTTGTTGGTACCAGGGATCGAACTCACAACTGTGCGCTTACGCCGCTGAGCTAAATCCCCAGCCCTGTGTGATCTAGTTTTTAATACGAACTTCGTAAAGAACAGTGGTAAACGGAGCAATCATTTGATGTGTCCAGTATATTTTATTATACATCTGGAGATACTCTTAATATGATGTTAATTCATACTTTGTTTTTTTAGATTTATTCTTTTTTTTTAGAAATGCATTTTATTCAAGGATAAAAAGAAAAAGCTACAACAGAATTTCAAAGCGTGTCAATTAGAGGGGGACAATGGTACATACATTTTGCACTGTCATCCCCGAGTCATCCCCTGAGCACTGGACATCTACATTCAATTGTCTGAACAGTTCTAGCACAAATCTTTCTCTTTAGAGAACTCAAAGAAATCAGTAGTACAACTATCTTAACTATTTTTTAAATATACATACACATATACATATTTTTTTCTCTTTCAACTTGTCACATTAATGTATTTAATTTCTTAGAAAGGAATTTACAATTCATTTTTAGTTGGCCAGTTTAGAAATAACACCATCAGAAGAAATCCTTTTGTCTTTCCAGAAGGTAACCGGCGAAACAGAGTTGTCTGTCTTTCTGGCTTCCGTGTCCTGAAATGTCTGGTAGAATGTAAGGTTAGAGCATCATTAAAAAAAAAATACTAAAAATGTGGTGGCTTAAAGTTAGGTCTTATATTCTATCATAAGCACCATTGGTATTTTTTGGCCTTCTGTATACTAGAAGGAAGCCAAAGTGTATATTTTAATTCTTATCTTAGAAATAGCTATTATAAGAGTGTTCAGTAAATTGTTTCTGACATTGAATGGCTGCAGAATTTCAGACATTGTCCTTTAGGGGACCTTCCTTTTGCCCTGGTGCTAATGAGCATTTAAATTAGTCATGTTAAAGGTGAGCTATAATTCTAAAAGGAACATGAGAGCCAGAATGGATCTTACAGTGAAATATTAAATTTCTTCTGAGACAAAATTGGCACTGTATAGATTGTTGAAGGATAGCAGAGGGAGGACCGACTTGGGAAGAAGTGACTGATTCTGTGGTAACATCAGCTTAACTTTTCAAGAGAACAGCTGCAGATTGTCATCATCCACATTTACACCATTGTTACTTCTGCTGCTTGTCTTGATGATTAGGGCAGATATACATAAAGGTTTTGTAGTATATAGAATTTATAAAATCAAACAATCAACTGTGACAGTTATAAATGTGCTACCAGATGAACCAATAGGCTAAATCAAACTATATTGAACATTGAGAATTTTTTTTTAATGCCAGGAATCAAACTCACAACCTCGCACTTGCCAGGCAGGTACTTTCTCAGCCAAATCCTCAGCCCCATCATTTTATATATACTTGAGTTTCTATGCATTTGCTGTACAAATCATTATCCTTTCAATTTGGTCCTAATCACTGTCATAATACGGATTGAAAAAAATACAGGCAAGAGGATATAGGTCAGAATTTAGGTCAGGTCGTTTCAGTCTGAAACCAATCAGTAGGGCCCTTATTTTCCATGTAGTCCTTTGGTTTATCAGTTCGTGAATCAAAGCCAGGCCTTCATTTGTCAGAAGCATCCCAGGCAATACTGTACATACAGACCCAGGTCATGGCGGGGGCGGGGGCAACATAATAAACTCAGATTTCTTCGGATAACCTCAGAGATTACTGTGTGCAGATTGTCATTGTTTGAACAGTGCCACTGACAGAGCAGGGAAGCCATCAAACAGCCTGAGACTAAAATTTAATTTAAAATACATTAAATGTAAGTGTTTCTGGGAGAAACCCAGAGGCTCTCAAGCCAGTTTGGAGAGGGAGAGAGCAGAGAAAGGAATTGGTATGAGAGGAAAGAAGGGGTGCAGGCCCCTGCAAGCAGCAGTTCAGGGTGGGGGAGGTTCTTTAAGAAGAACCTGCTTCTCTCTCAGCCCTAGAGGGCCGAAGATTTCTGCTCCAGTCACCGCACAGGTAACTCCCATTGTTACGTGATTTCTTTCACAAGAACGCTGAGAATAAGTGGCTTCAGGGTAGGCAGTAGATTCACTGGGTGCCTGTGTTTGTGAAAAGCAGTCCAGAATTATTAGAATGTAAAGCCCAGATTGCTAAATTCTTCTGTTTTTCATTCTCGTGTAGTGTTTACCCATAATGACCTGTTCACTTGTTTGTAGCTTAACGTAGTCAGCGCTGAATTTTTCATATAATGTGTGACATCCTGACAGCAAAGTACTTTTTCCTCTGTTTGTTACCGAGAAGATCCAAACTCTGATAAGATTTAAGGTCTGTTTTAAATAACTTCTTCTAAACTCTGACATGATTTTTTTCCAGTAAGTGGTTGTTTTCTTGGCACTGTCTTACAGCTTTGCATACAGCTGTATCAAAGAGGGCTGGTATCTTTTATTCAACATGATAGAAATGGATTTTAATGTCTTCTTCCGTTAGGTTCCTATTGATCCCGTGAATGATACTAAGTATGCTGTCACTGGAGGGAACAGCAATGAGACAAAACTCAAGATAAAGGACCTTCTGGAGGAAGACGGGGGGTCCTACTGGTGCCGCGCAGAGTTCCCGTTAGGCGACAGTGAAGATCAGCTGGAACTTGTCGTGCTGAGCTTTTTGGTGCCCCTCAAACCGTTTTTTGCTATAATTGCTGAAGCTGTTGTTTTAGTGGCTGTTATTCTGCTTTGTGAAGTGTACACACAAAAGAAAAGAAATCACCCAGGTAGGATTCTTTGTTTTAGAGGTAACACCGTCACTTAATTACGATTATGTATTATGATGTAATGTATTATCATGACTTTAAAATAATGGAGAAAATCCAGTTTATCTTATTTGGAGCAGTACTTCTGTTAGTGACGATGTTAATAGTGAGCCAGGAGTCTATATTGATTAATTTTCTGACTTCAACTTTAATAATTCTATTTATTAATTTGGTGCTTCTGATATCTAAATACCAGTTAGGGTGTGTGTTGTGACGGTGAGATATTAGAAAAATCTGTTTGGTTGATATAAAAGGTCTCAAAGATAAACAAGTTTAGGGTCGAGGGTTTAGCTCAGCGGCATAAGCACCCGGTTGGCAAGCGTGAGGTTGTGAGTTCATTACCCAGTACAAAAAAAAAAAGGTAAACAGGTTTTTTCACTTAGGTAAATCACTAAAAAATATTTTATCTAACATTTTGAGGCTTTCATTAAAAGAGACATTGTTCTGTCAAGTTTCCTTGTTTGATAGCCTGTGCTTGATGTTTTATGAGTTGAGAAACCCGGGGTCCTTTTGAGAAAATTTATCTGACATCTCATTTTCTTTCCTGATCTTGTACTTACTTAATTAATTAATTACTGAGATGGTGTCTTGCTGGCCTTAAATTGGCTGTCCACTTGCTTCATTCTCTGAAGTGCTGGTGACACAAATGTTGTACTATCACACACCTGACTTGTTAAATTATTACTAACTGAATGGCAGACTAATGAACCATCTTTTTGAAAGTCCTCCAGCACTAGACTGTTCTTGATCAGAGATTTAGATAAAGTGTGGAGTACAGATGCGGAGGAAGGCTGGAGGGTGTGCAGCTGTCTTCAGTTAAGGCGGCTTGTCTGTCTTCATTCCAAAGAGTAAAAGCCGCACAGTGTTCTTCCCTTTGGGCCAGGTCCACTTGGAACATATATGTCCCATAAAATATAAGAATCATGTTTCAATTGTCAAATTCTTCTTTTTTACACAGATGATGGAAAAGAATTTGAGCAAATCGAGCAGCTGTAAGTATTATTCTTTTATAGATTTTTCACTTGGTAAAATACAGAGAAATATGAAATTGAATGAAATGTTTGCTATTAGGAACAAAGAAGCGTAAGTGTTCATGAGGATGTGCATGGTACTTTCTGGTCATAACCTGAGGTGCTAGGGTGGATTCCTGAGTCTGGCTGCCAGTAATGCAGTATGACTTCCTGTCTTCACCTCTTTGCCTTGGTTTTTTCCTTTGCAAAATTGCCACGTAGTAAATCTGTTGGATTAGATGATATTCTAAAACTTCCCCGAGGCTTTGGTGCACAAGTGTTCAGTAACCTTGAGGAAGTATTATTTGTTTAAGTGATTCTCAAACTTGCCTATAGTTTTGATCTCTGAAGATCCCTCTTAGGAATATGCAGTTGCTCAGATTTTGCTGGATCTCCCAGATCAGAGTCTTGGGGACTTGGGTCTGTGTATCTGTATTTCTTAAAAATGTCTGCAAGTGGTTCTTATTCACTGTTCCCTTGAAGACTACTGGTCTTGAATTTTCTTAGTAATTATTTTTGAGAGAATGTTAATTTTATTGTCCTTTTAGAGGACTCTGCTCGTACTCTTTAGAGTAGTAGAAAATGTAAGGACAATTGGGAATAAAGTTGCCAGGGTGTAATTTGGTTTGGGCAAGGTGGGAATTTCTGTTCCCCCAAACCAGAGAACTGTGAGGAAAGGCTGGTGACAGAGGTGACCGAGATAGGGATTGATCTGGGTAATAAAGTCTCAGCTGTGGACCTAGAACACAAGAAACAAGGGACCTAAGCAACTGTGGCCAAGACATAATGACACACACCTGTCTTCAGCAGGAGCCACACTACAGAGCAGAAGTGGGCCAAATGTTTGCCCTTTCTGTTCATAGATATTATTCGGGCAGGCATTTTGACTCAGTTTGCAAACAAGAGGTACCTTCCAAAGGTTGCAGTCACAAAGTTATGAAGTCAGCTTTCCTCAAGACAAGGTGGAAGAGAGATTGTGTTGTGTTAGAATCTGAGACCCTTGGAGCTGACAGTGAGCTCCAGCTCTCCTGGGCAGGTCCGATGTCTGCCTGGAGAATCTGGGCTTGATCCGTAGCAACCTGAATTTGGAACTTTCCTGGTTTCTCTGTTGGTCCTCTTTCGTATTCCTGGAGTCATGAAGCATATGGCAGATACTCACACTCCCTCCCAGTTACTCCCTTGCCAGATTCTTTTCCCCAACTCAGCCTGCCCCATGTTTTTGACTATTACTTAGAGGTCACAGGTAGCAGCTGACTCTGTTTTGTGCAGGACACACTTCGTCAGGGTGATCTCTGAACAGTGGAATCGGCTGTTGGTTCTATAGTTCCTTGTAGTTACCCTACCCTATCTGGTATTTTTCCTAGAATATGTTAGAAGCCACATCAAAATGATTGCATGTAAAATATAAAGAATGTTTTTTATTCTTTTTTAAAGTTAAATAATGTGCATCATTTTCTCCATCCTTAACTAGCATATGTATCATGGAATGTGTCTCACGTTAGGGTATTTTAGTATCTTTAGATTATTAGAAGCAGTTAGAGCACTTTAAAGTTCATTTGGAGCAGCCCTGTATCCATGTTCCTTTTAGACTTACTATTAAAAGATTTCTTTTGGTAGAAAATGTTTTTATATTTTACATATAGTACCTATATATGTGTGTAGAAGAATAGGAGTTCTTTGGTGAAACTGATTCTTAAACAGAATAGTTAAATGTATACCACCAAAACACTTATTTATCTGATTCACTTGTATATTCAATCCAAATAGTCATTAGCACCCAATTTTGACATTATTGATTGGGTGGCTGAATTTGTTATCTAATGGTAATAGTTTAATGAACTCAAGGCTGCCCATAAGGTTTGTAAGGGATTCATTATGCAAAATCATTATCCTTTTTAGTCACAAGGATTTGAACCATGCATTTGTAATCTTGCTCTGATACACACTGAGTAAAGAACCGTGTGTAGTAAACATAAATTATTGCAACAGTGTCACACAAACTGGTAAGTTCCAACTGGACTGTTATGCTGGGGATTTAGCTCAGTGGCATAAGTGTGTGTCTGCCAAGCGCGAGATGGTGAATTTGATCCCTAATACCAAATTGGCTGTTACCGTTCTTGTGTGTTTTGAAACAATGCATAGGTTTTGGTTTATATCCAAGCCTCTGTTCCTCTTGGGAGAGAAGCAGTGCTCGCTTTTCATAAAATAAATCTTGTTATTGTCATGTATTGCAGCATCCATCTCCAAACAGTGTGTAAAAGTAAAGTCAGCATGTGAGCAGGACACTTCTAAGAATAGCTTGTGTCTGTATTGAACTCTTGAGTGTTATCCTGATATCCCCGCTATGAAGCATGTACTGTCTTAATTTCAAGCATTGTAAACATCTAGTGATTTTTCTTTTTGTTTTCCACATAGGAAGTCAGACGACAGCAACGGTATAGAAAATAATGCCCCCAGGCAAAGAAAAAATGTAAGTTACAGTCAAATGATAGTCGAAATAAAAGGCAAAATTTAGTATGTACAGGCTGGGTGTTAAACTAGAGCCTTTGTTTTTAGTTTCATAAAAGACTCAGTTATTTGATGTGTCTAAATGTTTTTGTCTGTACTATTAATGAGAAAATACATTGTTTAACAAAAATAATAGCATCCTTTTCCAGCAGAGAAAAGATAGCAATAGTAAATATAGTAAATATGATTTGTGTATTTTTTTCTTTTCTCACTCTGGGCTAGTTTCTTTAACAGTGTTTCATGTAACCTTTTTCCCCTCAAAATTTTTTGTATTTTGTAACTTTATCCCCATATAGTCCTATATATGTGGTGCTATGGACTAATTTATGTAGCTAATTTTCTTTATGGATTCAAAATTTTCCCAGGTCATGAGCACCTTGTTTTGGTGGGATATCATAACCTCGACTTCCCCGTACTATTTTTTTTTGCTTTCCTAAAGTGATAGTAAGGTTTTATGGAATAACAAGCACATTAATTTTATTTCCTTATACTTTATTTAACTCAGGAATCTGCAGGCCAATGAATGGAAAAGATCACATCAAGCATTGTGGGACGATGTGCGAAGACTGTGTGTTTCAGCTTTTCAGAGTGTCTGAGTTTTTGTGTTTTGAAGATGAAAAGCTTATGCAACATGTTCAGCAGTACTTCATAAATAATATATGCTATCTCAGATTTAAAGCCTTTATTTTCATTTTGTAATTATTTTATACTAAAGCAAGGTAAACTGTGTGAAATATATTGTGTGAGCTGCAACCCAGAGTAATTAATTTTATCTTGCTCTTCATGGGACATCAGCAAAACCATTTAATAATTCATAGAACAATTTAAAAAAATATTTCATAGGGCAATTATCACTAACAACCTGTTTAAAACCAAAGAGCTTACTAAGAAGAAAGTCTATTTTTGTCTTAAAAGTTTTCTTTTTCTAATTATGCTTGGTATGTATAGAAGTTTATATAATAATTTCATGTAAAGTTCATCCTTTTGTGATTTTGAAAAATTGTATCTTCATTAGGAATTGAGTCTTTGTGATTTTGTAATGATGGTTACAATCTCTACAAGTAAGACATATCTTTAATCCATAACTCATGATGTAAGGCAAGGAAATAACCCTTGTTCTTAGCCGAGCATTGTGGTGTGGTGGTGTACATCTGTAATCCCCACTATTGTAGAAGTTTGAGGCCAGCAGCTTAGTGAGACCCTTTCAAAAAAAAGGAGTAGCTGGGGATGTAGCTCAGTGGCAGACCACTTGTTTGCCTACTCTGTGCAAGGCCCCAGGTTCAGTCACCAGCACCTGAAAAAGACAACCAAAAACAAACACCAAAAACAACCCAAAGTATGCTTGTTCCAAAGCTCTGCTGCTATAATAGCAAATCTCTCAGTCTTTCCCATGTCAAGCCAAAGTACTACTTATGAGCAATTTTGTTTTGTTTTTTTGTGTTTTTGAGACAGGATCTTGCTATGCAGTTCAGACTGGTCTTGAGCTCGATTTGTAGCCCAGACTGGCCTTGAACTCACAATGACCCTCCTGTCTCAGCTTCCCAATGGAGCATTTTTGTTATTGTTTCTGTTGTCTTATAAGCCCTTCTAAGCTTGGTCTTCTCTGGGTGTTTATGTATTGAAGTCATTCTGCGAATTGTTACAGTGCAGCACTCTTAGCCAGATGCTTCTGTGGTTCATGGTTTCCTGGTGTCTTTGATACATTTTCTTAAAAATCAAGTTTGCTTGTATTCATGGCTGGTTAAGTATATAAAAATATGTAGCTGCTCATGTTGGTGCAGCAGTCAGGAGACTGAGAAGGAGGAGTGTCGTGAGTTTAAGGGCAGCCTGGACTACAAAGTGAGTTCAAGGCCACCCTGAACTGCATATGAGACTTTGTCTCAAAAAGAGCCCCTACCCCGGAAAAAATGTTATTAGTGCTTTACATAATTCTTTTGACCGAAATCCTGAAGTATTCACATGCTTCTTTTTTTATGTTTGCAAATGCCTTAAGATAGTATCTTCAAAAGTAGGTTCATGTCTATATATAACTGAAGTATTTTATAAATGAAATATAATCAAATCCAATGACATTAGGTGTGCATAGAAGTTTCCAGTGACTTTAAAGGAAATAATGGAAATCTTGCCCTAGTATACTAGATTAGGGTCCGTGGTGCTGGTGGTCCAGCATCCTGCTATCCCGCTGCTTGCAGGCAAAAAGAGTTTAGAGCAACCAAAAGCAGAGAGCTAAAAATGGCCATGAAAGATGTACATTTCTCGTGGAGTTGGGTATTATTAAAGCTTGAGAAAAGGAATTCAGTGATTTGGAAAAAATGCTGTGTTGAAATTTATACTGTGAATATTGGTAAGAATATCAGATTCTGATAGTGAAAATTACATGGCCATCTTGACAAATGTTTACCAATATTACTGGCATGAATAATAGATGTAAAATAGTTACTTGAAAGCTGCTTTTATTTTGCTGTTGCAACAAAAAGTATTCTGTTGCAAAATATTTCAGCTACACATGCACATAATGAACTAGAAAACAACTTTTAATTTTATTCTTGACCTCAGCCATTGGTTTTTTTATTCATAATTTGACAAAATTATGGGTAGTAGGATGGTAGCTAGCTTAATTAACTTAAGGAGAATTCAGGCAAAAGTGAGTCAATCCTTTTATTTAAATTGGTCCAGTTTAAAATGGCTATATATTATAACCCAAAACAATATGTAGCTCATGGGGTATGCAGCCTTCTGTTTGGGCACCATTAATTGTTTAGACTGAAGTAGTTTTCAAGCAAGAAGAATTGTTGTTCAGAGTGAAAGAATCAAATATGTATATAGTAAATTGAAATTTTAAATGATTATACTTGCTATGTATTTTTTTTTTTTCTAGCAAAGACAAGTTACTTTGGTAACTGAAAGCAGAAAAACTACTGAAACATTTAAGTTGATTTTGGCTTTTCAGTTTGTGTGGTGGACTTCTAGAAAATTATTTCAGCACTTTAATTAAAAATGGAATGCTTCCATTAACTAACTCCTTGAAGATAATAAGTGGATTAACAACCCATTGTAAATTGACTGCAAATATTAAGCAGCAGAAAAACTGAAGTAGGAAACTACTCCAAGTCTATAAACTGGACATGTTGGGAGAGTTTATCAGTCTTTTCCAGCTAATGGGGTTTCTCAGCATAATTAAACTTAATGCAGTTATAAAGTTCCTTATACTTGTACACTCAAGTTTATACTAAAATGTAAATCTTCTCCTTTTGCAGTCTTGTTTTTCCCTCGAGCATTTAATCAGACCCAAACCTAAGGGTCACTGTGATGTTTTTTTTTTTTTACTTACTGGTTGTGAATTCCTGTTCCTTTGACCTGCTTAAAAGCTCATTAGCTGGGCATGGTGGCACACTCCTGTAGTCCCAGCACTTAGGAGGCTAAGGCCGGAGGATCGCTTAACAGCTAAGGTTCTATTTTTGAACTTTAGTCTTGTCTTCTGTCTCTCAGTCTCTTGCATTGTGCCCAAGTCCTCCTTCTAAAACACAAATCTCTTTTTGCAGCTTCACGTGGCTGGTTCCACACTAACCTGCACCTTTGTCATTCATGTATCGCAGTGCACAAGCATGCTCATCTCCCCCGGTTCTGAGCCAGCCTTGACACACAGATTAGAGCCCTGGATGCTCTTTCCCTCACTTTCACACACCCTCTCAGTGTTAGCTCTCCTGATTGGATCCTGATTGTGCTTCGCTGAAGGTCCTTCATACCCAGGGAGGCAGTGATGCTCTGCATTTCTTTGTTTTTATTCCCTGTATTATAAAAGTAGAGTAGCTGGCATCCTTCTTGTTTTGTCTTTTATTTCTATGCCTTGTACCATGGGGGTATGTTGGAGATAAATTGTTCCTTACATTTAGGAAAACAATTTAAAATTTTTCAAATCAAAATTGAAAAATATTTTAACAGAAAAACAAGTTTAAATAACTTTCCTCAGTTATTTATGTGGGACATGTAACTTTTAACATCTTTAAATTTTTACTGTTCTCAAAGTTTCATGGATTCATGTAGACCTTATTTTTATCCTCATAAGCTATTGTCTTTTATAAAGAATTTTAGCAGTTTATCCTTTACGTGGTATCGAAAGTTGATATTTATGGCCCCCAGTTGACTTTTCATTTCAGCCCACCACCTTAGACTACTTCAGGGTCCAGTTCAAAATTTAATCTTAACATTTAAAAAGTTTTATTGTTTAGTTTTGATCGCTGTAAGTATGTCTTTCATCAAATTCATTAAAATGATTTGTTTGCTTATTTGGATCTTCATCTTAGAGATACTTAAATAAGTTTATGCAGAATGATTTACTAAATACTATAGTTCCCCCTAAGAGGAAGAATCTTCTGTAATTGAAAAAAATATATGCAAAGAATTAGGGACACACAACCTGTTAGCACTGAGCAGCTCTAATCAGAGATGTGTTCAGGTTTGTGCTTTGGTGTTAATTAAAAGGCACAGCACTACCTTGCAGTGTGCGCTTAGTAAATATTTATTGAATACATGAAAAATACAGGAATGCTGTAGTTTTAAAATTGTACACGTACCTGTTTTCTGCTTTCATTTTGATTAATTAGCCATCAGTTTATCCTATTTAATTATAGAAATGGAGAAGAAGGAAATTGGAACTCTTGCATTTACATAGGGTGTTTGGGAGTGTATTTAGACTATATGTAGAAAGTCAGTCACATGCCCCATTGTAACAGTTAAATTAAGGATACATTGCACTATTTGTAATGATACCTGCATTTGTTCATTGCGTAGCACATGGTAGACACTGCAGATTTCTCTTTTTTTTTGGTACTGGGGATTGAACTCATGACCTCATGCTTGCCAGGTGACACTGCAAAATTTTTTTGAAATGTTTTATCTCATTTATCCCTGCATCCTCCTATGGATAAAAGCAGTTAGCATTTTTTTTAAGACAGGGTCTCACTATGCAGTTCAGGCAGGTTTTGAACCCACTTTGTAACCCAGGATGGCCTCAAATCCTCAAAGCCTCTTGCCTCAGCCTCCGGAGTGCTGGGATTACAGGCATGCAGCACTATGCCCAGCACTTTTTTTTTTTTTTTTAAATAAATGAGAAAACTGAAGCGTAGAGAGATAATCTAGTATCTGCCTCAGGAGCCTAGGCTTAACCACCACTCTTGGGGGTCTAGTGCTGGGAACTGAACCCACGGCCTTCACACTGAACTATAGCCCGTTCTTTTTTTAATTATTAAGACTGAGGCTCTAAATTGTCAAGTTGGGCTCAAATTTGTAGTCCTCCTTTCTCAGGCTCTCAGAGTGCTGGGATTACAGTCTAGCACTACTCTTGTCTACCCTACCCACCTTCACAGACAACTCGACCTTGCTAGTTACGAGCTTCTTAGAGTTGAAGCTATCTTATCTCTACAGTGCTTGCTTTCTCTTTAGAATTTCACTCCTGTCAGTTTTATTGTACGTTCCATACTTTGGCATCTTGCGTTCTTGAAGTGGTGCTAGGGAAACAGCACATCGTTTCTTTTAGGATGCTTGCTTTCTTTTCCAGGTTTACTTGTCTGTAATTGAGGGTGATCCAAAAACTTATCGAACACTGAACATGAAAGAAGGTGCTACTTATAATTTCACTAAGACAACAGGTGAACTTGGATCTCATGGTTGCACTTTTGCACACCTTTACACTTTTAACTCCTTTCTGAATGCTCTACCATAGACAGTGCTAATGTGCAAGAGAATGATTTAAGTCTGAATGGAAGACCAAATGACAAACAGGATAACTTTCAGGGAAACACCCAATTTTAGGTAATGCAGAGAAGTAGCTATTTTTAGTAAATGTCAGTTGTTGTGTCACCATAGAGAAGTGCCTATAATGAGACCATTTAGTAAGCTTCAGGTTTTTTATTCTTACAAGTATCTGGTATGATTAAGATTTATTAGCATTTAAACATGACTCAAGTTTTAAGCTGGCAAAAAAGGGTGTTTTTACTAGCTTGTGGAATAAACTGAGTTTCTTTTGAGTTTGTGTATCTTCTGATTAATTTGTCAAATACCTGTGTGGCGCTCAGTGAATTCAGTGAATAATATCTTTATGGTAAAATTAAGGATTGTTGATTTATGATGATTGACTTTAATAATTCTTTTTTTTCTGCATGTCTATCAGTTCTCATTGATGCCTTTCTATATTGTGTAAATCGCACAAATGTATGTAAAGAATGTTGTAAAAAATCATTCTGTTGCATATATATAACTCAGAACACATCTAATATGCAATTAAACTTAAGTGTACTTTGAATTAAAATTTAAGGATTGGAAAATATATTTTCAAGTTTTCATTTGTTGAATAATTTAAAAGTGAATGCAAAGGACTAGCTAATAGAGAACATTGATTTTTTTCCTTTTTATAGACTCATAAAATATTTATTAAACAATTTATCTTTCTTAAGCCCCACAAAAAAAGTATGCCAGAGCTGTGACTCTGTATTTTGATGGATCAAACTGTAACTTAAAAAATAAATTTCAGAATGTCCCAAAATCCATTTGGAAGGTTTAAATGGCAGCTATGACTTTGACACAAATGACCATTTAAAGTGAAATTGATACACATAATCTTGTTCTGAGTAACTTTTTGTTTGAATTTGTTAGTGTTATTTTGGATTTAGCAAAATAGTTGCTAAACATAAAAATTTGTATTCTCTGAAAATGTCTACAACTATAAAACAGAACTAGTGTAATAGAACATTTTAAAGTTGAGTGAAATAGGATTTTAATATGTGTTATATTTGACTCCTACCTCATCTATATATTAAAATTATTATGTTTAATATAGAAGTGTTTGTGCCCTGAACATGTGAGGCCAATTTAAAGGAAGTGAGCAATTGTATTTTTCAGTGACTAAAAACAATGATTGGGAAGCAACTTCGAAAAATAAGTAAATACACCTTTTATTTTCTTGGTAAATACAACTAATGGTGTTCTAAAACAATCAATAAAAGATTAGCCAAATACTACTACTTTTGTCCCATTTCCACCTCCAACAGCAAATAGTGAGAAACTGGGGTCAGGGGGGTTAATACTTTCCACCCAAATAATGAAACCAAGTTGCTACTCTTTTTTTTTTTTTTTTTTATTTATTTAAGAGGAAAAAGAGAAAAACACAAAACAAACCAAAGCGGCGTAAGGGTACATGCAATACAGAACTACAAAAAAAACAAAACAAAACAAAAAAACATAACAGTAAGAAATCACCTGCTAGTAGATTACACACTATCTTCTTGAAAATAGTTCCTCAAATCACAGTATCAAAGAACACAAGGTGGACATTCAAACAGGGAGATTGCAAACAGCTGTGTTCAATGTTCCAAAAACATTGATAAAGTCAGCTATTTAACACCCCCAAACACACTTGCTGTTATATCCGTTAGAGCTCTTTTTCTTTTTTTTTTTTCCCTCTCTTTTTTACAACAAAATTTACACATCTTGGATTTTATTACTCCTTAGTGCTTATTACTTTCTTTGGGGGGGGGGGAAGAATACAGTCAAATATGGCAAAACAAAGCTGTCAGTCAATACCAAGGATAGACGTAGCACATGGTGTAGAACAGAGTACAAGTTTATCAACAGTGGTTATCAACGTTGTCCCTTGTTTCCTTAAAAAGAATTTTATAGATATTATAAAGTTGGACAAAACAGTAGAGAACAAGACCAATAAAACTTAGGCATTGTAAACATTACAGGACTTCCAAGAAGACAATAGTCAAACCAGAATGGGTATCTTAGTGAATCTTACCCTAAACTCCTACTCCTGCCTAGAAAATTGGACAACCTCTCTCGCCTGAATTGTCAGTGGAAGCAGTGAGGAACCTGATTTTCTACCTGATAGTAGAGGGTGTCAACTAAACTGGTGTCACAGAAAGCCTGCTAAACAAGGGTTTTGTTTTTTTTGTTTTTTGAGATAAGGTTTTGCCATGCAATTAAACTGGTTTTGAACTCACTTTGTAGCCCAGGCTGGCCTCTAACTCCCAGCAGTCCTGCTTCAGCCTTCTGAGTGCTGGGATTATAGGTGTGTGCCACCAGTTTCTAAACAAAAGACTTAAGTAAAATTTACTGGCTTCAGTTTAGGCTAAGAGTCATTCTCAACTTGATTGAGAAACAAAAAGATCACCAGATAACAAGATTGAACATATTCTTTAGGTATCTTGACATTTTTAAAACTATTGTCTACATGCTTCAATAATCAATTGAAAGCTTTAGCAAATAGAGTTGGGATATAGAAGAATGAACAGTAATTTTAAAAATGAAAAATGCAATAACCACAACTTTAACTAGGTTGAATAAACTTAACAGCAGAATAGGGTGGAGAAAGAATAAATTAGTGCAGTTAAAGGTAAGCAGTGTTAGCCAATCTGAGCTATATGTGGTGTCACATACCTGTAATCCTAGCACTAGGAAGGCCAGGCAGGAGGACTCAAAATTTGATTCCAGCCTGAGTTATCAAACCCCAGTCTCAAAAAGAAAAAAAAAGGATTATTAAATCTGAATAATGGGGATAATATAGACTGAAAAAAATGGACCTCTTCAGGACTCTGGGGAATTAAAAGAAAAAAATGGGAAAGTAATATTTGTGCCATTGTTGTAGAAAAGAGGAGGCTGTAAAAATACTAAATAAGGATTGAAGATTTCCCCAAAGGTGACATCATAAATGAGCAGACCACAAAAAGGAAGTCCAGGAAAATCCATGCCAAGCCATGTTTTCAGCATTAGGAAAACAGGTCATGATGATCCTGAGAGCAAGAATAAACACCTATGCAATAGTAAAAAGTAAAAATAGGGATACAATAAATTTTCTCTTGATTTTTTTTTCCCCTCATATTTGACAGTGTCATAATACAGATCTGGCTATCAATGTAAAGGAAATACCTACTAACCTTTTAAATAAGGATACAAAGGGACATGGGGATAAGGTTTTTATACTTCACTAAAGCTGATAAGATGTCCACACTAGTAAATTGTAGTATATTACAAATGGATTATGTAATACTTAGAACTACCACTAAGAGAACTATAAAACACCTGGGGAAATTACAAAGTGGAATTATAAAAAAAAATTTCTAATGTCTTACAGAAATATAAGAGAAAATAACAGGAGAAACAAAACAAAATATCAGGTTTAGGTCCTAATACTCTAAACCTAAATAGGCTTCTCTACCAATAAGGTAGAGATTGACAGAATGGATTTATTTTAATTTTTTAATTTTATTACATTTAGGTCAGTTTTTTAAAAATTTTTTTGGTACCGGATCAAACTCATGACCAAAATTTTATTTTTTAAAATTATTTTATTCATAGAAAAGAAGAAAAAGACTACAACAAAGTTTTAAGGTATGTCAATTGGGGGTAACAATGGTAAGTACATTGCACATTGTCATCCCCAAATGGCAGAATGGATTTAAAAAATCCAACTGTATGGTCTATAAAAAATGCAATTCAAATGAAGTAATATAGTAGGATAAAAGGAAAGGGATGGAGATAAATTTCATGGAAACTTTTGTCATGGTTTGGATCTAGGTGTTCCCCCAAAGTCTCATGCAGTATTAGATGGGAATTTTTCAGAAGTGGCTGAATCTAGCGTGTGATTGAATCTTGGTGCGACGCTGGGATTAAGGTTGCTGGGATTTTGGGTGGTTGATTGTGGATCAGTGCTCTGACTGAATTGATATTACCCTAATCCCAGTACACTGGATACAAACATAAGGGACAGAGGAGGTTTGACCCTCTCACTTGTTGCTTTTGCTGTCTTCTGCTGGCATGAACAGTTGCCCCCTGCCATGTGTCACCCTGCCTTGGAGTCAGCTGATCGTGAGCTGAAATCTTTACAAACTGTGAGCTACATAAACCTTTTCTCCTTTAACGTTGGGTATTGAGCATTTTGTCCCAGCACCGAGAAAAGTAACTAAGACAATTTAAAGCAGGAGTGATCATGTTAATTTGAGATGAAATGGGTATCAGTAAAGATTACCAGGAACACATAGGAACATTACATAATGATAAGCATTAATCCAGCAAGAAAATACAGATCAAACAATCGAGTTGCAAATTATGTCATGACCATAAGCAAAAGCTGATAGAACTGAAGTAGGCAAAGCCACAATTGTGGAGACATCAACAGCACCCACCCCCAACTGATAGGACAGGCAAGCAGAGGAGCAAGAGGTAAACAAGCAACATTATTAGGGAACAGCATCTGGTTTATATTGTGGAGCACTAACAGCAGAATACAGACACACCTATAGAAAATGTAAGATACATCATGTATCAATGAACATAAAAGAATTGAAATATAGAGTATGCTTTCTGAACAAAATGAAATCAAACTAGAAATCTTTAATAGATAATAGAAAAATCTCCACACAAAATATTAAGTGTATTAAAATGTATTAAAATATATACTTGTAAATAACTCACTTATTAAAGAAGTTTTAAGGGGAACTTAAATGAACACAAAAGATTATAAAATACCAAAATCTGTAGTACTCAACCAAAGGAATACTAAGAAAGACGTTTATAAATCTTTTAATGTTAGATAAAAGCTCAGATTTACCTAAGCGCCCCTAGGAAACTTGAATAACAAATCCAAAACAATTGGATTTATTTCCCAGGGGAGTGATATATGCTGTAGGGTACTTTTCCATGATACTGAGCAGTAGCAGCAAGCAAAAGAAGGAATAATGACAATGAACAGAAATTGGAAACAGAAAACCCATAAGATGAAAATCTGTCTTAATTTTTTAAGAGAATAAAATTGGCAAACTTCTAGCAATATTAACAAAAATAAATTGCCAACATCAGAAATGAAACAGGCAATGTCATTAAAGGTCCTACAGGCATCAAAAGATAATAATATACTTCCTACACCTAAATTACACAATTTTGATGAAATGGAACACTCAGCAACTATAGTAACAGCCACACGTCAAAAAACATACAAAAAATAATCCAGTACCTTAGCAACTACAAATAGTTCCCAATTTATGATGATTCAACGGACATTTTCTTGTTTTTGTTTTCCCAGACTGGGGCATTGCATGTGTTAGGCAAGCTCTCTTAAGACGTAAGTTCCACCCATGTATTAAGCAAGCACTGTGCTAGCCAAGTTTCATCCACATGTTAGCCAATCACTCTACCACTGAGTTCCATCCCTAGCCCTAGACTTCAAATTTTCTTTTGAAATGCTGGTGCCAAAGCTATACATGTTAAATAGGAATTATAGGAATGGGGGGCATGGAGAGTAGAAATAGCTCCTGAGAGACAGGTGGGGTC